ATCCCATGAAGGGATGTCAAAACTTCCTCCTTCAATCTCTTCTCATATTCGGTATTTCATTCCTTTGGGATGTTTTTTGCGTTCCTTGCGATCGCAGGGCAACCCTCCCATGTTCCTAGTTGAAAATGGATATGTCCCTCTTCTTTAGGGAGAGATGATCCGGTTCTGTTGCACCTAGCAACTCCACTCGCCACGTATCGACGATGATTGTGGATAATATCCCCGATGTTTGGACCACATGTCTAGAGAACTCGGGTTCGTTGCTTCACCATTTTCTTCACGTAAGCATCGAGTGGAAGCCCTCCAATCGTTCTTCTCACAAACCTTACCAGTTCCCCTTTCTTCACTCGTTCAACGAATCTTACCTTGGTAATCACACGCCTACTAATATGTACCCCGAACTTCAGTAACCATCTTCTTAGCCATTGATCGACTTCTCTTTGTTGAAAAAATCTTCGCAGCAGCCTAATATCGAATAAGTTTGCCGATTTGCAATCTTTTCAGCTTATCCTGCTTCTTCTTGAATTTGAACATCCTCACCAAATCATCCTTCAACCTCAGGGTCCATGATGATGCTTCAGTAACGTTCCGAATTTTCACACTCCTTTTCTGTTCAAACATCTTCTTGCACTTTCTTAGCGGCCTTGTTCTTTTACGCACTCGCACCCTTGTTTCACCAAAGGTTCGCCTCACCACACGCCAGTTATCCATTCATACCGACCCGTCATTACTCTTCACTTCATACTCCGCCACCCAACACAGTCTCCACCACCAGCCTTACTCTCCGCCATGCACGCGTGTGCAAGGATCTACCCTGAACGTCCACACTACACAGACACACACACTCTGTACACTCTGTCTGAACCAACAGCTGGGCGGCTATGGCCGTCGTTGTCTTCCTCCTTCCAGCTATGGCCGCTGTCTTGCTCGCTGCCCACTTCCTCTCCGACCTGCCCGCACAAGTCACGGGGCAGCACTTCGGCATGGCTCCCACGCGAATGAATGAATGGCCGGACGCTGCCTCTTTCTTTATATTTCTTCGGAGGTACCCGGGCCCTGCCTCAAAACGCGTGGGCCTGGGCCAAAACGCGTGGGGCCCTGGGCCTGGACACTTCCAGACCATGTAGGCCTGGTAGGCCCAAAACGTGTGGGCCCTGGTAGGCAGAGAGGGATCGAATGTTCAGGGTCAATGTTCAGGGCACAGGCATAGGTCCAGGGATCGAATCTCACTCAGTGCGCAGGGTCAATATACAGGGTTCAGGCATAGGTCTAGGGGATCGAATCTCAGTGTCTGCAACTGTCGTGTCAACTGGGTGAAACCAAGACTATATATATATCGTCACAAACAGAACTGCCCGGTAAACCGTAGGCAGAGAGAGAGAAGAGGACAACAAACGAGGGGCTGTGACAAACTGTTTCGTCGGAGTGTCACCGACTCATCAGGAGGCT